TGAGGTAGTGGCATTTAAATGGCAGTGGCTGAGGCTCAGAGAGGTTAAGGAGCTTGCTGGAGGTCACACAGTCTGCGCAAGGTGGTGATCTCATGCTCTTAACCCCAACACTACTGTCTGCAGGGGTGAAGGCGAGGACAGGCGGGGTGCAGGCAGGAAGGCTTCTGGGAGTCTGCTCCAATCCTCCTCCAAGAGCCCTGATGGAGGCCGGGGAGCCATGGCTTTTCCCGACCCCCAGAGGCCGAGCACCCCGGCCCTCCGCTCCTCCCAGCTCTGCCGACATCAGCCTCTTGGGGCCCACAAAGGAAGCTCACATCCCACCACCGTTTAGTCGGCTGTAATCCTGGCTCAAGTTCACTCCTTGGGAAATCGACCGTGGGGGTGGCTGTGGCTGGAATGTGTGGCTGGGATCCAGCATCCCAGCCCAGACGGCAGGCTCTGCTGGGGCCTGGCAAAGCGGGCAGCCAGGGGATCCCGGAGTCCCCAGGCCCCTCGGTGCCTGAGGACGGCATGTGCTGCTCTGGGCGTGAGACTCCCAGCGAGGCTGTGGGCAGGGCTGTTGGGCTGGGAGCTCTGGCCACAAGGCCGCTCTGTTCTCAGGTCAGGAGGAAGGGGGGACTGTGTGAAGGGTGGGGGAGCAGTGGGGAGGGAGCCTCCAGCGGAAGTCCTGTGGCACGGCTCACGCCGCGACTTGTGGCTCGCGGGCTACACAGCCCTGGGCAGGTGACTCAGCCGCCCCTTCCTGATCCGTTCAACCGAGGTGACCATAGAACCTGGGGACTGCTGTCCAAGCAGTCAGCACGCTGCCCGGCACGGTGATACGCAGAGGCTTGCTGCCCTGGGGGCCCGCAGCCACAGGACACACACTGCGGCCCAGGCCTCTCCTGGAGACAAGGGAAGGAAGGCAGAGAGCTTCTTCAAGGGCCCCCAACTCTGAAGACCCCAGAACCACTGTCGGTTCAGGGCCGGCCAGGGCTCACTCAGGTGCTTGCCACAAGCCAATCACAAGAAGGCAGGGCTGGGGCGGGAGCCTGGGTCTGCCCACTAGGTGCCAGAGTGGGAACAGGGTTGGCTCTTCCCCCCGCCAGTTATGAAAACAAACTGGGGGTTTCTTTTTTTTTTTTTGAGTTGGGGTCTCACTCTGTTGCCCAGGCTGGAGTGCCGTGGCACATGGCCACCCCAGCATCGATCTGCTGGGCTGGCAATCCTTCCACCTCTTTCTTCCAAGTTGCCGGAACTACCGGCACGTACTACCATGCCTGGCTTTTTTTTTTTTTGATGTATTGTAGAGATGAGCTCTCACCAAGTTGCCCAGACTGATCTCGAACTTGCGGGCACTTGCGGGCTTGGGCAATCCACTCGCCTTGACCTCCCAAAGTGCTGGGGTGACAGGCTGAGCCACAGAGCCTGGCCTGGGGGTTTCTTTTAAACAGTTTGTCCTCCGGGCCACCGAGATGCAGGCCCTCCCCACACTGGGGACGCACTGCCTGCGAGACACAACCCTCCTGCCAAGCCCTCCATGGCGCTATTTCCCGGAAGCACCACACTTAGCTGTCGTCCCTGCCACTCACACATGCATGTCATTCCTGTGTCCATCAGGATTTCACTAACACTGGACAATGTCTTCATTTTCCAAAAATAAAACAAAGTTGGCTCTGCTTTTTCAGACTACACTCCTGCTCTCCCTGATATTCTTGTCTGAATAACTGTTTGGCATTCTGATTTTAAAAAAAAAACCTCTGTACTGGCTGGGCATGGTGGCTCATGCCTATGATCCCAGCACTCTAGGACTCCAAGGTGGGAGGACGGCTTGGGCCCAAGAGCTGGAGATCAGCTTGGACACATATCGAGGCCTTGTTTCCGCAAAAACCAGTGACACCCCGACCCCCTGCTCAAGACAAAGTCTGTGCTAACCACCCAGGGCAGAACCGTGGCTCACGCAGGTGGTCAAGGCGCTGTTGCCTGCGGGGGTCTACTGAGCGCTGCCCACGTGGACCATCTGAGTCCTCACAGCTGCCCGGGCACTGGGTATCACCATCGTGCCCACCTGACAGATGAGGGAAGCCGTCCCGTGAGGGAAGAGAGAGGCCAAGCATGGGGCCGGCACAGCAAGGCCCCCGACAGGGCACCACCCTAACCCCCACTATAGTCCCCCACACTGCCCCCCACCCGAGACCCCCACTCCAGTCCTTCCCCCCGCCGCGGGGCCCCTCCTGCTGCAGAACCTTGCAGCGCCCCCCTGGGGAGGGCAGTGCCCACCTAAGAGCTGCCGTGGGCACTCAACAAGAGAAGCAGCGAAGTGCTTCCCCCGGCCTCCACCTGACAGCCGGGTCTCGCCTGCTGGCCCTCGGCCTCCTGAGAGCTGACCCTCCTGGACGCTTTTGAGGGATCTGTGAAAACCCCTCCACCCTAAAGCCTGCATCATTCAGCGCTGATCGAGCTCTGGTCCCAACCCCCAGCCTCGGCCCCGGGCCCGCCCGAGCTGGTCACAAGACGCCAGGCTCAAGTCAATCCCACAAGTATGTGCTGACCCCAGCGGCGTGCAAGGCGCAGCCTTCCTCCTGGGTCTCACAGGCCGGCTGCGGCTCCCGTGCCTCGGCCCCCGGCCCAGCCTGCGGGCACAGCCAGGCCCAAGCTCGGCGCGGGGAGACCTGGTGCTCCAGTCCCGAGTGGGCGCCAGCACAAGGACGACACGGCACGCAGGAAGCCTGAGACCTTTTATTGACAATTCTCCGTAGACAGAGAGCCTCTAGCTCCTCTCCAGTGTAAACAAAGCACAGGGCACTGAACTCTCGTCTCTCAGGACGGACAAAAGGGTGTGCTGAGGCCTGCCTGGGTTCCCAGGGACTGGCACCTCCCCTGGCCTGGGGTGGCGCAGGCTGCCCAGCCCCGGCCAATGCTTGGCCTGGCGAGACAGCGGCCAGAAAAGGGGTCCCTTGTCTCCCCAGCCTGCGTCCCCGGCCCCTGCTCCTCGGTGCAGAAACGCCTCGGCCACCCACGGGTTCTGGGCCTAGGCAGCCATGACTCCAGGAAAGAGTCCCAGGCAGGAGGGGCCGCCACCCCTCCTCACCGTTCCTTGTGTTCCCAGGAGCTGTGCAATAAATAAATAAATAGACAGGCGGGGCAGTTGCGAGGGAAGAGAGCGTACCTGAGCCAGCTCACGGCCTAGGGAGGGATGCTGAGCCCCGAAAGGCCAGGATGAACCCGCACTTGGTAGAAAGGAAAGATGGGGCCTTATCCCATGACCGAGCCTGTCCTCCAGGGAACAGCCGGCGAGATCCTACACCTCCCATGCCCCAAGGGTCAAGGGCTTCGGGACCTCTGCTTTGCTCCTGGCTGCCTCCACGAGACCAGACGGGGGAGGGGAGTCGTGGCACCAGGCGGGGGGGCTGCATGGACTCTGGGCATGGGAAGAAGGAGCAATCTGAGTGCCCCGCAGCTACTCCAACAGAGCTGGGGACACTAGGGCACAGCAGGGCTGAGACTCATGCCAAGGCCCCTGCAGGGGGTGGCTACGTCCCTGGAGCTGCTGGACTTCCCCATGTCTGCTCGGCTCACCCTGGAGGACTCGCCAGCCACCCCCCACACCTACTCTCTTCAGAGCAACTTGGGGCATCAGCTCTGCTTCTGAAGCACTCCTGGCCTTCACACGGGTCACATCCTGCGATGGGGAATGACCAGATCCTGGTGCCCAAAAGGACACCGGAATGGCAGAGCTGGGTGCTCCGCCCTTCTGCGGGCTCCCCAGGCCCAGGGAAGAACCTTTCCCAGCCCCAGTCTCCTATGATTCCCAGACATGGCCTCAGTGGCCCTGATGATCAGATCCCAGGAGACAGGCCTAGCGCACTGCTGCCCTCTAGCGTCCACTCCCTCCCCAGCCCCGAGTCCATCCATTCAGCCCCACTGGGCAGAGGCTCAACACGCCAGGCCCAAGGTTCCTCTCCGTGGGGTCTGAGAGCAGCCACAGCGGCCACCCGCAGGAGTGGGGACGGCTCCAGCACCCGGCTGGAGGTGGCGAGGGAAGGAGGGGGAAGCCCACCTAGCAAGCAGGCCACATGTGCCCCGGGGCTGGGTGGGGAGAGCGGGGTCTACGTGGGCCCCAGGACCTGCCCGGCCAGGCCCACCTCTCCTCACTTGCTCAAGGTCTGGTTACATGACGCACACACAAACACAGTCTCTCTCTGGGCTTCGGGGGCTGCAAAGGAGGAAGAACTTGGTGAGACATTTCCTCATGCCCACCCTCCCCCAGGCCCGGCCCACCACCACGCCAGCCCTCGCCCCTTCCTGAGCCAGCTCACTATCCTGCCCAGAGATGCCCTGGGGATGACGATGCCCACAGCAGGTCTCTCCCAGGCGTGCTCTGCATGTGAAAGCATTGTGGCTCCAACACAACCCCTTTAGAAACGTTCTCTAAGTCAAGTATCAGGGTGAAAATTTCCCAAACATTGTAACAACAGTCATGCCTGGGTCATAAGATTACAAAATTATTTCTCTCTTCCTTCTGTAACTTCCAAATTTTCTAGTGAATAAGCCTCTGTTAGGCCGGGCGAGGTGGCTCAAGTCTATAATCCCAGCACTTTGGGAGGCCAAGACGAGAGGACTGCCTGAGCTCAGGGGTTCGAGACCAGCCTAGGCAACTTGGTGAGACTATGTCTCTACAATAAGTCAAAAAATAAGCTGGGTGTGGTAGCGTGCGCCTGTAGTTCCAGCTACTTGGAAGGCTGAAGTGGAAGGATTGCCTGAGACCAGCAGGTCGAGGTTGCAGTGGCCATGAGCATGCCACTGCATGCCAGCCTGGGCGACAGAGTGAGACTCCAACTTAAAAGAAAAAAAAAGCATTTGTTACTAGCTTATCAGAAGGGGAAAAAAACTTGGTTTGATGTGGTATCATAAATCAGTACATGACACATGATCACACTTTTCAAGAACAGCATGTGAGTTGACCCTGCGCGCACCTTGGCAACCAGATAGGGCCCACGTCCAGCCATTCTCTCTGAGAGAGCAGGAGCGTTTTTATTCCTTTCACGTATCTGTATTTTCTGTTTTATTTATGAAGAGTATGCATAGCGTTTGTAAAAGGAGAAAAGCGACTCTTAAGTTTTGGTACAAGTATTCCCAAGTAATGAGAAGATAAGCGCTCAGGCAGCGGCTTCCTCCAGGAAGGCCTGGGTGTCGCCAACCGGTGCGTCTGCTTTACGGGCAGTGGCGACACATGTCCTGCTACAAGGCCTCACCACTCGCAAGGACGTCCCATCTGTTCCTCCTGCGTCAAATGCTCCCACGTTTTGTTTGTGACAGGGAGGCAGAAACGGGCCCGCAGGCCTCAGGCTAGGACCCTGCTGCCCCGTCTCTCCTGACACCCTCACTCCTCCCTGGCGATGTGGCACCCCCTGCGGGACCAGCCAAGCTCCCGCCCACCCCCACGCCCACTCCACTCACCTGTGGCCCCCATGGAGGACTTGGGCACCTTGAAGGAGCAGCACCGAGAGCAGAAGCTGTTCCCACAGTTACTGCAGCTCCGCTGCGGACAAGCGCCAAGGTCAGATGTGTCCCCAACGCCCCAGAGCCCCCACACCTCCCTGCCTCCCACCAGCTGATCCTGCCCAAGGAAACTGGTTCAGGGGAGCCACGCAAGTGGAGCAGGGGCCAGGCCAAACGGCCCCCAGGAGGCTGGTGAAGGCACGGGCACAGGAGACAGCACTTCACACACCACAGACGCCAGACCCAAGGCGGCCCGGGGGCCAGACCACCCCACAACCCAGACGCAGCGCCCCGTCCCCGGCACACACACACCTCTAAGGCCCTTACCCTCTTCTTCAGCACCGAGAAGGTGGCAGAGCAGCCCGTGCAGGTCCCTGGGAAACAGAGGCAGCAGCTCAGCCGTAGCCCGGCCCAGGCCTCTCAGCCCACACCTACTCCTGGCTCTTCCGGATGGGGACACTTGGGACGACAGCCCAGGCTCCTTGGCTGGGCGCAGGGGGCCAGAGAGAGGAACTCTAACTAGGAAGGAAAGACTGCAGGCCCCTGGGGCCAACGTCCCAGGCCGCAAACAGCGCCAGGCCCTGCAGGCCCCAGAGCCCGGGCCACTGCAAGCTCACCAGAAAGCACAGACCTCACCACAGGCACCTGTGTGAACCCAACACAACCCCACCCCCAAGGGATCGCCAGAAACGCCTCCTAGAAACCCACACAGCTCCTGCTTCCTGTCCTCTGCAGATTCCCAGAGAGAGCTCAGACCCAGGCGCTGCCCAAGAAGGCGCCCCGCAAGCAGTGCTGACAGCAGGGAGCGGCCTTGCCCAGTGACCAGAGGCCAGGACAAAGCTTCAGACGGCAGGGAGCAACGGCAGCCTAGCAAACGGCGGGAGGCAGCCAGGGGCAGAAGGAAGGTGCACCAGGAGAAGGAGGCTTCCGAGACACAGGGCCACGGCCTGCTGGGACTTACAGCAACTGCTGTGCCTCCAGATCACCTGCCAAGCCAGGTACAGCACACTAGGCCTCACCTTCACACAAAGGCCCAGAGCATTACAGGCAGCTGCATGTGGGCCCTTCCTCTGTCCAGCCTAAATCACTCGCAGCTCTTAGTCAAGTCAGGAGACTCCTGGGCGCAAGGGAAAGAAGGGCCTAGCCAGTGCCAGGAGCATGCTGAGGTGCCGAGGGTGACGCCGCTGCTGTCAGCCGGTGATCCCAGGCAGGGCAAGAGGGGCAGCCCCGCCGACACCTGCTGGTGGTGTGGAAGCAGGAAGCCAGCTACTGCTCAAGGCTCAGTCCCATTCATGCACGGCCCAGGGAAGGCGGCCTGCCCTGCCTCTCCTTCACAGGGGCAGGGGGACGGGACTAGTGAAAGGAGCTGCTCGATGCGGCCAGCCTGGCCCAGGGACTGCTCTGAACTGGATGGACACCAGGGCCAAGCACCCAGGGGCGGCCAAGTGGTCTGCGGAGAGAGCCGGGCACCCACACACGGGCCCGGGGCCAGGGAGGCCTTGGGGAGTGACAGCTAGGTGATGGAGGTCAAGGGCACCCTTGCTCCCCTCCGACACCCGCCCACTCCTTCTGCCCTATTCTCAGCAGGGGCCGGACTCGCCCATCTTGGGCTAGGACTGCCACTCCCCACCTCTCTGCCAGGGCGATGGCCACGGAGCCTCCAGGGCAGAAGGTCCTCCCCGCCAGGACCCTCTCACATGGAAGCCACACAGAGCAGCCCATTTTTGCTCTCTCCAGGACCCCTCACCCGCTGGCAGCGGGAACGGAATGGCCACCACAGTTCCCACGCTGAAACCTTACACCCAAGGGCCAGTACTGGAGGTGGTCCTTGGGAGGCGGTTAGCTCATGAGGGTGGGACCCTCGCAAAAGAGGCCCAGGAACTGCCCTGTCCCTTCCGTGTGTGAGGACACAGCAGGAAGGACCATCCATGAGCCAGGAAACAGCCCTCCCCAGAAACTGGTGGTGCCAACACTGTGATCCTGGGCTTTCAGACTCTAAAACTGCAAGACAGACATCCGTCATACAAGCCACCCAGTGGAGTGACATTTGTTACAGCAGCCCAGACATGAAAGCAGCCCCCAAGCAAGCCACCTCACCCTGCGGGATGCAGCTCCAGGAGCAGGGGCCTCGGAAGCCGAGACCCCAGGAGAGACCCCAGGAAGGGAAGGCGAGCAGTCCCCGGGCTGAGGAGCAGGGAGGGCTCAGAGAAAGAGGCATGTTCTGCCCTGCCGCCCTCTAGGGAGCCTGAAAGGCCATGACCTCTCCCAGCAGGGATCGTGGGCCAGGGCCTCACGCATTAACGGCACCCACTCACAAAAGCACCCACGGTGGCCCAGTCGGCACTGTGCTGGCCTTCCTGAGGACTGTTCATCTGAGACCCGCAACAACTGCCAGGAAAGAACTGCTATCCCCTTTTATGGAAGAAGAAACCAAGGCATGGGGGCATGAGAAAATCAGCTCAAAGACACGCAGCAGAGCTGCAGTTTGCACCAGGCACTGAGACTCCACCACATACAAAAGTGGGACAGACGTGAAAGAGACCTCAGACCCCAGGGCAGAGGGGGAAACGGAGAGGAGGGACGACGAGGTAGAAAGCCCACCGGAGCCGAGGCAGAGCACCTGGACTGGGTCACGGGTCTACTGTGTACTGACTGAAGTCTTCGCACAAAACACTCTTTCACTTCAGGTTACTCAACCGCGACATGGACATCTAAGTGCCTTTACTTAAAAATCATAGAAATAAACAAATTATCTGCTGGATCAAGAGTGGTAATTCTTGTGTGGTATTCCTGGGGACTTTTGGAACCAGCTGCTCTCAGTCACAAGAACTGCTGCTGGTGTCACAGCTGCCGTGAGGGTGAAACAAGATCACGTATGCAAACACGTGGATTACATGGATCACTGGCCACACAGAGCCCTACAGGAGTCGGTGACCAGCATGAATAAAAGAAAGGCTGTGAGTGACGGGGCATGTTCTCACAGCAGGAGACAGCCTGTCTGGGAGCGCTGCCTGAGATGACACCCGCCCTGGCTGCTGCAGGGGCGGGAGGGCAGTCCCCAGAAGCCCAGCTTCTCCAGGTAAACCCCAGGACTTCCCACAGGGTGCAGAGCCCAGCACTCGCTCCACACCAGAACACACAGCACTGCACCCTGCCTGCTGCCATCGGCTGAAAACAGGCAGAAGGGAGGCACTTCCTCAGGACCGGCAGCTCCCTGCCACAGCTACGCTCAACTTCCACACTTCCCTCGGGCTCAACTCCCAGACGACAGAGGTTGAGGGCACCCTGTTCTCCTCAGCTGTGCCGAGTCAAGTCCGCCCTTCTCCAAAGCTGCTTCCTTGACCACCACCTCTACTACCTCAGTAAAATGAGGACTGGCCGACCCACAAACTCAACCAGGAGAAGTAAGCTCAGGGTTCCATTCTGTCCAAAGACACGGTCTACTTCAACTCGCCTCCAGCTGGATCAGGAAGACCAAGACAGACTCCCGCGACCTGCAGTGTGGGCCACAACCTCACGTTTAACAGCACCCACTTGCAGAGCACCCACTGTGGACCAGCCAGGCACGGTACCGGTCCTTCCTGAGAACTGTCTATCTGAGACCCACAACAACCCTGCCAGGTAGGAACTATGATCCCCCTTTTATAGAAGGAAAACCAAGGCACAGGGAGGGACATGAGATAATTTCCAAGACACGCAGTTGAGCTGCAATTTGCACCAGGCACTAAGATGCCACTGTTTGAAGCAGTGATGTGACACTGCCTCCCAAGGTTCCATCTGTCTCAGGGTTCCAGCTCCCTGCATCCTGGGTGGCATTTCCTAGACTGAGTTCCTTGTCTTCCCGCAAGTAAGTACTCGGTAAAGAAAGAAGGACAGCCGGGCTCGGTGGCTCAGTCTGTCATCCCGCGCCTTTGGGAGGCTGAGGTGAGTGGATTGCCTGAGCC